CCACGTCGAGGGGCAAAGCAGAATGAACTGAGAGTATTACTCTTTTTACAGCAAAAATATTTTCCAAACCAAAAAACTTAAGACAGAATTCTGTTAGATAGACAAGTATAGAGTTCAATGAAGAGAGCTTCCAAACAGGTTCAAACAAATATTACATGGCAATTTCTCATAGATAGAATCCTGGAAGACAAGTCAACAAAGTGAAACATGGTCATTCTAGTTGGTTCAAAATCTGTGTGTTTGTTCACTTATAGCTGGTAAATCACTGTACCAATTATCACCAAACCTTGTCTGTACCCTTTAGGCCCCCTCCTGAGTGACATAGTGCTACCAGTTTCCCTAAGACTACATTTAAAAGCTGAATAAATCATTTTGTTGCATACTGAAAAAAAAAATACAATAGCAAAACTTTGTATTGCATTTAAATATCTACATAAGAAACAAATATACAAACACTTCTATATCCATTTAGGCCAGTTTACATTTTATACTTTTTATTAATATATGCACACACACACCTTGTTGTTGAGACTGTTGACTGTAGGCATAGGAATGGGATGCTGGTGTTAGAAACATTGTCTGTTGTGTTGAAGATAGATTATATTGTGGTGCTGCACCATACTGTGGAAGTCTGTGATACTGAAATTAAGAAATAGTTCAAAAATAAAATAATAAATATATATATTGAATTTCACTGCATGTGAAGAATGTCTTTCATTATTTTTTTTAGCCAAATGCAACAAAGAACAAACAAATAGAATTGTTTTACACCTATTATTGTTTATTTAGACTTCTAGGAAATTAAACACTGTAGAACTGAAAGTTTAATTAAATTCTCATACATTGAGCATTGTACTTTGTCATTTTATATTATTCACTTTCTTTCATGTCATTCAGTGCCATATTTTTCTTAGTACATTAAAAATGTAATTTTAAAAATAACAAGGAGAACTGTGTTTTAACATTACATAACTATATGTATGTGAGTGTGTGTGGATTGGTTAATAGTCAGAAATATATATGTAAAACTAAACAGTTTCTGATTAATATAACAGAAACTTCTCTTTAGTTATATGTTAATTATGAACAAAGCCACAATTCATGTCCATGGAAAAATTAATGTCATCTTAGATTTTGTTCAAAAATTACTAAACTTTATAAACAATCAGAAAAATTTAAAGAGTAGTACAAGCATGGCAATAAGTTATTAATTTATACTTTAAGTATATTGGCCTAGTTCAGTACAGCTTACTAATCTCAAGAAGAAACAACATGAACTTATAAGTCAAAAACCAAATGTGAAGTATAAAGCAACTTATGTATTAATATTGGTAAAAGTATTAAGGAAAAGTTAGAACTTGCAATCAATAAGAATAACATAAAGTATTTCTTTTATGAATTAATAGGTGTCTCTTGTTTTTGGAAGTCATTATCATAAAACACATATGTAGTGTACAAACAACTCGGTCTTGTTAATCCATGAATTTCAGGTAGTACAAGTATTAACGAAATAACCCACCATCAGTTTGCTTTTAATTGATTATTTACATGTTTTCAAACTTTAAAACTGCTTAACTGATGATAAACACACATGACTATTTGTCTACAAGGCAGTTTAATACAGATGCATGCATTATACATGCATTTGGTTTTTAGTCCAGGAAAGTCTTCCTGATAGAATGTGACATTTAGGATGTATTGATATATAGTTTAAAAAGGTAATTATATTTTACTAACTATGATAACAAATTTAAGTAATCATGTTTTTAATAAGAAAATATTTTTTATAGTCTGGATAAAGGTAGGGTAATATAAACATATTGTTTGTTTTATATCTAAAGATACTTCGAGGAGCATTACTAAACTAGACTGATTACAAATACAACAACAAGTAAAGCTTTCTAGAAAAGAGATTTTAAATATTCAAATATATGTACCTATCTATTGATCCATCCACCTGTAT